GTATTCTAGTCTAGTAAGTGACTCTATCACTACCTATAAGCATATCTGAATAAATAAATAACAACTACCAAAAGAAGAAAAAGTGAGGCAAAAGAAATAAACCGTAACATTGAAAGCCAGATTTCTCCCTCTGGGGAAGAGTAACTGAAATGTTACATATAAATTATTATCTATTCTAAACTTAAAGTACTAATATAATGAAGTTGTTTAAGAGATAATATGTTATATAATATATAACTCTTAAAGGCTGTAGATCCAGATTGTTTTAGCAAGATATTTTTAAAGCAATGATATAAATACATTAGATGAGTAATTTCTGTGCTCTGGTTTGAAACTACATGGAAGATTTAATGCAGTACATCAGTATTGACATTATTGTGAAACTGTACCAGATCCTGACCTACAGCCTCAGTTCAGAAACATTTTGAGAGTCCCTTATATAAGTACAATTTCACTAAGGACATATTCCTGAATCATGGATTATGAAAATTATCTTAGAACCAAGTCTTAGAAAGCATTTGTATACATTTTCTGAAACGTTTTGAAATAGCTAGGTTATATACTGTCAAATATGTACTCAGTAGAGTTTCCTTTTAATGCAAATGTGCTTAGAGAAACAGCATAAGGCACCGTTTTATGAAGGTAACAGCAATTGACCTTAATATAAGTATGTAGAAAGAAGTATAAATAAAGTACATTTTATTTGACATCTACATTTATCTAATGATGTCTAATTTAAAGCTCTAATTATTAAAATCACTCAAAAATAACAATTTGGAAATTTCAATGATGAGTTTCTCTCTGTCAGAAAAGAAGACTAGATATCCTGAACAAATATTTTAATGTAAATAAGAAAAAGTAATAAATCTCAACCTCTCTTCTGTCTCTCTGTCTCTCTGTCTGTCTGTCTGTCTGTCTCTCTCTCTCTCTCTCACACACACACACACAAAGACACCTCACAGGAAAATAATGGATATTAATTGAAGCAAAACATGAAGTGAGAATAGGAACATATAGATAAGCAAATTATAATCTTGTTATTTGCTTTTGGAGAGATTTTAAGATTTCGTTTTTTGAATGAATGCATATGGTGCAGGAGAAAGGAGGAAAAAACAAGGACGTGTATAAAAGCTGGTGACTCACAAGAGATGCCTATTTAAAGCTAAAGTCCTGGAGAGTGACACACTCAGTAAATAAGAGAAGGAAAGAGGCTCTACACAGAGGGAAAAATAAGCAAACTTCTCTACACTGAATTTAGCACTGGGGCTAGGGACGATATGTATAGATATGGATAGATAGATCGTTTTGTGATAATTCAAAACCTCAAATTGATATATGGATTAGATTTGTGACCTGAATTTTATCATACTTTTGGTTCCAAACAACCTTAAGGTGTAAGTTGTTATTAAATTAGTTCCTTTATTTTTAGTTCTTATAGACAGCTGGTAGAAGCAATCATAGTTTCTCTCTAAAGGAATTCTGCTTTGGTTCTGAGGTCAGAGGAGATTGGGCGCCATCAGAGTGGTATGGCCTTAAGAAACTCTCTTTTACTACAGGATTCAAAGAAATGTTACAGATCAGATTTCATTAATATAAACTCACAACATCAGAAAATATGAAGAAAAAAGCACTATAATGAGACAATAAGCCTAAGAAGATGTGATATGATAGAAAAAAAGTTAGACTCTCCGTGTTTGCAGATTTAGAACAATGTCAAAAATGGAAAACCAGTATATTTGTAAGTGTGCGTGTTTGTATATATCTGTGCTTGTGTGTGTATGATTCAGAAGTCTTAGGAATAAGAGATTTCAAAAGGTTTCCAAACAAATTAAGAAATAAATCAAATGACACTTTAGAAAATGAAAACTAATGCTGAAATTAATAATGCAATTAACATCAGATTAGACACAATAAAAAAGTTAAGGGAGAATGGAAGAAACTATACAAAAGACAGTGGAACCAAATATAGGGAACATGCAGAACATATTGAGAGACATGAAGGGAAGCTTGAGAGAATATTGGTCAAAGCAGTCTTATTATCTATAAGCTAGGGATATCTTCATTTTTTGTCTATCATCTTATGTCTTTCAAGAAGGTATTAAAGTTTCTCCAAGGATTCTAATTTTATTCAAGAAAATATTTTGTATTTTGTGTTAGTTTTATTCCTGGATACCTTCTTCTAAAATTGATCCGTAGATCAAATGTCATTCCAAACAAAATTATAACCTTTGCTATGAAACTTGACATTTATAAAACTAATATGAAACAAAGTAAAAAGGATCAAGAAGAGCCAAAACACATTTAAAAATAAACATGTTCCGTTCTTGGCCAAATTAAATAATAATCGTTATGTAACTTTAGCAAGGAAGATGATGTGTCATTAGTACTGAGATAGTCAAAGAGGAGCCCAATGAAAGAAGATAGAGATCTACAAGCAAATCCACATAAATATGCGAGCTATATGTGATAGAGGTATGTTTGCAATCAGTGGGAGAAAGAACGAATTATTAATAATGCTTTAGGAACACTTGATAATCCTTTTGAAACCATTTGAAATTTGTGAGTAATTTCAAATCAGTTCCAGTTGTACTAAAGATTTGTGTGCAAAAATAAATCTTAAAATTTTTGAAGTAAATAATGGGGGAATCCATATGATATAAGGGAAACATTTAAGCAATACACAAACAATAAACAGTAAAGTGAAAATACACAAGCCACGTGGAATAATATTGAGGAATTTGACTCCAGGAAATTAAGATTTTATTCAATGTAAACATTTGATGAAGCTGTCTTCTTTAATGCAAACTTGAAGAGATATGTAGGACATGTAACCAACAAAAGATTAGTATGATGGATTTGTAAAAAATGTACTTTACACAAGCTAAAATCCCCAGAATTACCCTGTAAAATGATTCCAGGAAAGGAAATAAGAATAGTTAATAAATCCACCAACCTGTATTAAATATCACTGGTATTCAGAGAAACACAAATTCAACACACATGATAATGCTGTTTCATATCTACTGTGTCTGTAAACCCCAATATATCTATAAATCAAGTTTTTAGAATATGTAAAATAAAACTTGTAATTCTGTGTGCTGATAGGAGATAAGTTAGTACATTCTCTTTGTGAAACAATTCATCATTACCCTGTAAATTCGATATGTTCATGCCTTATAACCTGATATCTTGTCTATAAGATATAATTGCTGAGAAGCTCTTCTGAATCTGGATGAAGAGACAAGTATTCATGTCTACATTTCTTGTATTAGCAAAAAGTTAGAAATCATTCAAATATACACTGACATAACAATAAATATGTAACAAGAAGTATGTTTATACAGGGGAATATTATGTAGCAGTGAACACAAACTAAAACTAATTGCATAAACATGCAAAGTGAATGATATAGAAATGGAAAATGTAAGGCTCAAGAACATGGTGACTACTCTGTGGATGGGATATGGAACAGGGAGAAACAGAGGCTTGAGAGTCATTCTTACCATTCTGATTAGATAGTAGGACCCGAGGTGCTTGTTTCTTTTTCTGTTTTGGGGACCCACATATTTGGGTTGGCCTCTCCTTGATGATTTACATTAAATCATCAACTTTACCAGGACAGCATCAGCATGTTAATTGGTTTACCCACAAATCCAAAAACATAATACTTGGCACATAATTATCCTACAAAAAATGGTTGCTGAATTAATAGTCTTTATTTCTTCTAAATTAGTCCTAGTTAGCAGTTTCAGATTAAATTTCTCTCCTTGCCACAGTGAATTGCTGATGCTTTACTGTAATAGGAATTTAACTCCAGACTGCTGTTATTTTCTAATATGCAGAGGTCAGTGGTATTTTAATTTTTTTGTCAAATATGCAAAACCTTATTATTATTTTTCAGAACATTTTACTTCATTGTTCTCCTATATCCTTCAGACCTTTCAAAACTTAGAAAATTAATTGACTTGTATGAAATATTGGTGGGTAAAGATATATAGAGGCAGAAAGATTTCCAGGATCCTCATAGTCATGAGTTGCCTTTCCATGAAGTGAAGGAAATTGGAAATTAAAGAAATGTAATAAATTGGAAAAAAATGAAAAATCAATCAGTTGGAAAACATCCTCCCAAATCTAGTGCCTCCTCAGATAAATGGCTCCTCATGACCATTTTGCAATGATTGCTTAAAAAAAAAATCAAAGAACAGCTCTTCTAAGACCAGATCTTCAACATTTAAATTTTTTCTACTAATGTTCTTCCTCTATATTGAGCCATCAGAATATTATATTCTGATCCAATCATGTGGAAATGTTTAATTTACTCAATATTCTGTTTTAAATTCAGTTTATAAGGTGGGAATCAGAATTCCAGCTCTGCCTCTCTGGTCTTTATCAACTTCCTCCCGTAACAAGAGCACCTCACATTGTACCACATTTGGTCTTAATTTGCGGGTGGACACTGTTCTTCCAGAAACAAGAAAGTTTATAATTCTCTCATGTTATTCTATTGTTTTCTAACTTCTCTCCTTCAAATTATATTTCTTAATGGAACATTTTGGGTGATTAAATTACTCTTCCAAGTTTTATGTTCTCCCTCATTCTTGGAAATTTTGTCTAATGTCAAACCTGTTTATTTCCTAAACTATACCATCTTTTACTTTGTATTTATTGCTCTGAAAAAACATAATCTCAAGATATCAGTGATCACTTTCTAACACTTTTCTGATACTGTGTCTTGAGTTTACAGATTAGTGTTTTAAGGTTTCCATGTTTATAAATAAAGAAAGATGAAAATGGCATTGGCACTAATCGGAGGTTCTGGACACAGTGGCTGTCCTCCCCCCTCAACACCCATTTTTACTCAGCCCCATCTTCTTACCTTCAGCTAAACATTTGAGCCACAGGAATGGGTTAGAATAGGCTTTGATGGGTCAGTGTGTGTTAGGACAGACTTGCTGGGCACACTTGGGACAGAGTATTTTTGTATTTGAGAGAGAATTATAATGCTCACTTTGGCAGCATCTGCACTGTAATTGGAATGACGCAGAGAAGATGACTGTAGCCCCTGTGCAAGGATGATTTGCAAAATTGTGAAACTGAATATTAAAAAAACAGAGATAACTATTAAAGCTGTATTTTTCTCTGACTAGATGTGAACCTCAAAAGATGTAGCTTTAAACTCACTGGCATCTGCATGGTGAAGGTGACAAACTTTAGGGTAAAGCACTAGGCACATGAGGAGGGTCAGGAGTCTGAGTCTGTGACGACATCTCTGAGCTCTGATGAAGCCCGTCTTCACCACAGCTTCCTCTTCTGCCAACCAATAATTTTTCATATTCTTTTAAGCCAGTTTAAGTCAGACTTCCCATTACTTGCAGTTGGATTCATGCTAAGGGTTACATTAGCCTCCATTAAGTGTCTCTTCTCTGTCAAATCCTGAGGTTGACATTTTACATATTTTATAACTCTAATAGGTCTTGCTTAAAAGGAGCTTCTCTCCACCTCAGCAGCATTGATTTGGGCGCCATGTGTTGTGGGAGACTCTCCTGTGCTTTGCAATATGTTTAGCAACATCCCCAACCTTTTCCTGCTAGATGTCAGTAACACCTTCCAGTTGCAAAAACTAAAAATGTCTCCTGATAGTGCCAAATATATTCTGTGAGACAAAATCATATGTGACTGAGAAAACTATGTTAAGGAAAAGCATATTTATATTATTTGTACATAAAGAAGCTGAGAATGAAAAAGCCTAAGTGTGAATGGATCCGAGACTAAAAAAACTAGAACATGCAGGAAGCAAGACTTTGATCCAAGCCTTTGTAATCCCCTAAACACTAATTCTTTAACTTTATCACTCAGTGCAAAAGGGAATCCAGTTACTATGTATATGCCAATGGAAAAGTAATTTATTCAAATATAAGGGGATGGTTGTTATTATTGTTAGTATTTGGTTGTGTGGTGCCAGTATGTCAATAGCACAGTGCTCACCGGCTGCACTCAGAAAGCAACTATTCCTGTCCACAGGGGGCTGCGTTATCCTTTTATTTGTGCAGATCTCTGCAAGTTCCACAACTTCTCTGGTCAATATTAGATAATATATTTTTGTTATAATCTTTTACTTAGAACAGTCTAATTTCAGAAATTAAATGACCACTCTAATTTTATTTTCCAATATCTTATTTTTTCTTTTAATTTTCTTCTCTTCTGCAACTCAGTCTTCTTTTAGGCTAGAAACTGCAGTGAGGCCATGTGGGGATTGCGTTCATCTTTCTCTCTTCCCCCACTTCCTTCTCCTCTTGCCCTACTCACTGTTGCATGGCTTCTAGTCTGAGGCTAGAGTTGGTCATAGGAAGACAGTTGAAGAAGAGGAAGAACTTTCCTTGCTTGCCTCTGATGGTCTGTTATTGGTGTTCTTTGAGCTTGTTGGGTGTTCTAAGCTGATTTTTTTTGAGACACTTTGGAAGTTAATCAAAGATAGTGGTTTCTTTCATTGTTACAGAGGCAATGCATTTCCTTGGGGATGCTGTGCATGACTCTTGTTTCAGCCCTCAGACATTACCTATATTTGGATAAACTAAATTAAACTCATCTGATCAGCTAGAAATAGGAACTTTTGACTCATCATTGTTAGAAGTATAACCCTCTCTACTTTGTATGTCTGTAACCAGAATGCCTGCTATGCAGCCTCTTACCTTCAGAATTTTCTAAGGTGTGGTCCAGTTTCAGTCTCAGCTTCTCCTATAACCTTTAGGTGACACAGGTCAATCCTTCGGAGAAGTCCCTCTGATATTCACACTTAACTTGAGAGTGAGGTAATCACACTCCTTTTGTCTCATATAAGATAGCAGAGGGGAAGTGCCACAAAATTCTCACAAAGTTCTCTGAAAAGTCTCTCTGCTTGTTTCCCCACATCTAACCTCTTACCCTTGAAGAGAATGATAGGCCAAAAGTCACTAAGTAGATTTAGATCATTAATATCCCAAGTTTGGCATGCACAGCTCTTCCCTGTGGAATGGGAGCTACTCGTCACTTTTGCATTGTTCTCAGCTTTCATGAGCTCTCCCAAAACTGAGACAGAGAGTGCCCACTTTTAGCATCTTGTCAAGCATAGATAAAATGTGGACATGTTACAATGCATATAGCAAAAGATAATTGGACTCACATTAAGGGAGCTTGCTATGGTCTTGCATCTATGTCTTAACTCAGTCACCTTGGGAAGGTTATTTGGCCTTTTAAAGCCATGATTTTCTCATGTGTCAGAAGGAAACATCATATATACTTCATTGGACTGAATTGCCTGACAAATAGTAGGTTCACAATAAGATGGTTATGGGATGCAATTATATAATATGTACTTCGCTGTTTTATGATTTGAAGTGTCACTAATCTAAGTGACATTGAACTTAACAAAATTAGTCAACCATATCACCAAATGTCAAGTTATGCATCTGTCCTTTGATTTGTGTGACATGGAGTAAAAAGGTCAGAGAAATATGTGTTTTGCTAAAAACAGGCAAAAGTGCTAGTCAGAGTAACCACTTTAAGCCTACATAGCTGAAATTCAAATAGTTTCTATTAGTTGTGTATCATGCCACATCTGTATAGGAAGAGTGCCCAGGTCAGCAGAAGTAGACGTTACAGTTAATTTCCTCAAATCCATCTCACCTCTTCCTGACGGTACAGGCAGTTAGCCAAAACTCCATATCCTAGCCATGGTCAATTTAAGCCACTCATAGTAATCCAACCCATCTGGTAGCTACTGGTTCAGAAACCTGGCTCTAAGCACATTTTTGATTGATACTCTACTACTACTTTATGAGTGAACATGGGGCATATGTTGGGCTATTGAAAGTGGTGGAAGGATTTTGTTATTTTTGTTTGTTTGTTTTACAATTCAAGGGAGGCTCTTGCCACTTCTTTTGCAGCAGGCTGAACTGAAGAAGCAATGGCCACCAGAAGCCCTCCTCCACCTTCAGGAGGAAGCAGCATCCTTAGGATGAAGTTGAACACTGGACTACAGTTTTAGATGCAAAGAACCAGGATCTTCAGGGACTTTCCTGAACTGCTTGTCCTCTGGACTTCCAGAATTAAAAATTAGTAGAATCTTTTATCTTTAACCATCATATACAAAGCAAAAAGAAGAGCATCTCTAGAAATGTGGGTTTTTTCCCCAAGTTTTATTTTTATCCTATCTTTGGGCAAATCATTTAAAAGTGGCCTGCACATTTATTTATTGAAATATATTATTTTATTTGTTCTATGTAAGCCTTTCTATTTTAGCAAAAGTAGATTTTTAGTGAATGCTTTATTATTTTAAGCTAACTTTTAAAATATTTGTTTTTTAAAAATATTAAAATGTCCCAAGATTATAGCATCATTTTATAGTAATAGGGTGTGATATTTTTACATCTGTGATACATGTGTATATTTTAAGAAATTACTGTTGAAATTTCTATTATTATAAGAGCTATTATTCTAAGTCACCCACGCACAACTTTTATTTCTAAATGCTGTTTTTTATCATGGCAACACTTAGCTCACTTAGTGATCTTATATCCTTCCGTTTACCTCTAATTCAAATCCACTGTATTCTCTTTTATTCTCTCTAATCACACCTTATCATTTCTGGAAAAGTTAAATATTGTTTAGATTATTTTACCCTTTTCACCCTTACGATTTTACTATAGATTACTATATAACCTATAATCTATATATATGAAGAGAATATATAACATATATTTTAAATACATATATTTAATATTTAAATAGAAAGCAAAAGATAAAGCTAACAAAGAAAACAAAAATAAAAACTTTTGCTGAAACTTTGTAGTAAAATTTAATATAAAAAGTGGCAGATTCTGCTTGAGGACATTATGCAAAGTAAAATAAGCCAGTCACAGAAGAAGGCTACATACTGTGTGATTTCACTTATATAATTTGTCTAAAATAGTCATATTTGTGGAAACAGAGCACAGAAGGGTGGGTATCAAGGTTAGGGGGTGGGTGCAAACTAGGTATAAGATTCCATTAGGCAATTTGAATAAACTTTAGAGATCTGCTGTACAACATTGTGCCTACAGACAACACTGTATTCTACACTTAAAAATATGGTGAGAGGGCGAATCCCACGTGAAGTGTTCTTACAATACAATAAAGAAGAGAAAATCTGATGATGATTTCTGTTAAAAGAAAAATCAATATTTCTTTTATTATCTTATTTAAAATATTGTAAAACATGGAAAGAAATGCCTAATTTGTCACATTTAGCAATATTAAAGTAAATTTTTAAGTTGGTAACATGCTTTTTGAGACTACCATGTTACAAATTAAAAACCTTTGAAATGAATTAAGACATTTCTATTTCAACTAGTTAGCACCTTTCGCTGAAATGTATTCTAATATGCTACACTGAAGGCAGAAATAATTTACATTGGACTTTATAATGGTCATAAGCATACATAAATTTACTTGTACTAATTAAAAATATAAGGACATATGAAATTATAGAATGTTTAAAGTAACAAAATAACCAATATAATCAGGTTTTTATTTTTGTATAAGAAATATGTATGCTCACATTTTATAGAGCATTATAAAGTTCTTCTTGCTGAATATATATATGTGTATATATATGTATATATATATATGTGTGTGTGTGTATATATATATGTGTATATATATATAAAACCCAGGTAAACATGGTTAAGAAATTTAAAATATAAACATATTTTAAGGAGTATATTGTCATTAATATATAATATAATAAATTAAACTTAGGAATTTACTGTGATGGTTATTAATTTTCATCTTTACACATGATCTTGTTTACCCACATTTTATTATGTTCTTAATTTCCCCTCTCCCCACAGCCACAATAAAAGCCTTATTAATTTTTCCTACTCTTCTTATTTGCACATCAGTAATCAGTTACCCATTTGTAAATGGTCTGGCACCATATTCCCCTCTTTTTTCTACTTTTTGTCAGATTATTCTTTTTTTTTAATAGTCCTGGATGGTACTTTTGTGGATGTCATTGATGTGGAAAAGCACTATGACATTTTGCCTTGTGGCTTTGTCCTTTTCCTTTCTTATTTCTTTGTGGTTGGTAGT